TCCTCGTCCTAAAGGAGGCAAGGAAGGCATGATTTGCTCAGCCGTCAATTGTTCAACCTTCCCTATCTCTTCCCCTCCATAACCAATGTCTCGGGAGTCCAGGTCCTGCTTGATCTCCTTCAGCCCCCAAGCTGCCCCCACCTGCACTTCACCTAACACATTTTCAACCCTTCGGTGAACACTTTTGAGACACTCCCAATGAACCTTCTTCGCCCGACCGGCTCCGAAACCAACTCCACCACCATGCATGAGTTGACAGAACTTCACTGAGCAAAGAGCCCAAGCATCCTTAAAGTCCTCAAAGGTCCAGAAACTACTTCTGAAACAATCTTCAAACATGGTTCCTCTAAGTTTGCCATGAAGTCTTGCCCAAACATGGGGGAAGGGGTATAGGCTCTTATCGCCCGGCAGTCGCCCACCAAGTTCCCGAAGTCCAAGTGCGGAAACCTTTTGCCACAACCAGCCTTCGCTCAGTGGACTCTGTCGTCCTTCTAGGATCATCCAGGCGAAGCATAGCCCGAGATTCATCAGGTCTCCTTTCTCGCACATCATCTCTGCTACCTTCTCGCCTCGGCAGCCTCCTCTCGTCAAAGGCTCCTCGGCCACTCCTCCTTCTTCTAGGCAGCTCGGCTCCTGACCTCTCACGTCCTCTGTCCTCAAAGCCTCTTCCTCATGCATAGGCGTCTCCTCCTCTCGAGCGGCGCCACCTTGATTCTGCATTTGCCTTCTCTCTGTATGAAAGTTGCCCTCATCTGTCCTGGACGGTTCAAGCGCACAAACGGCTCTCTCATCCTTGGATTCAGCGGGGCTCTGTGCCATGCAAGCCTCAGGCATGGTCATCGCCAAGCCCTCTGCCAATTCTGAATTCTCTGGCTCCTCAACTCTCAGGCCTCTGCCTTCTCCCCCTCGGCCTCTCCTTTGCCTTTCGCCTTGTATTTGCTCCCCTCCTTGCCTCCCTTCTTCCATTTTCCTCCTCTGTCCTTTCCATCTCTTCCCTCCTTTCCGCTGTCTCTTGATCGCCACCAGCTCTTTCCTCCATCTTTGCCGCCTCCTCCGCTCTGCCATCCTCTTCCGCCCGCATTCCTCCATGTCCCTTTTCCTTCGTAGCCGTGAGCTTTGGCTACCAGGTTGCTGTGTTTCCTGGCGGCCAATTGGAGTTCTGTGGGTGCTATGGCCTGATCGGAAGGGACTGCCACCTCGAGGTGTCGGGCCACGGACCAGCCGTCTTGTATAGCTGCTTCCACTGCGATAAAGCGACCGGCCAACGCGTCCAAGCTCTCGAGGAGGTTGCCTGATCTGATCTTGTCGATGGCGGTGGCTAGGAGGAACAACTCTCTCAAGGCTGGATGACCAGAGGGATGGCGTTGCCGAAGCGTCACCTGCCAGTAAGTCCCCACTCGAGGCCCGTGGGTCAGGAGTTCTTCCTGCGGAGTCGACAAATCTTGCAACTGCTCGGCGATCTGTTCCAGGAGAAGGTTGATCACACTTCCTTTCTTCTTGAGGCTTCTTCTTTTGAGGGGAGCTTGAAGTCTCCTTGCCTTCTTCTCCTCGCTGCTCTCCTCCTCGCTCGAATACTCCGAGTCCTCTCCACTCTGATCCTCGCTCTCGTCCTCGTCGTCCGATCCTCCACTGCTGGATGGAGAGCCTCCGTCGCCTTCTCGGTCCTTCTTCTTCTTCTTCTTTTTGCCTTTCTTCTTCTTTTTGGTCAAAACCTGCTTGAGCAGGCTCAATAACTTGTTTCCACTGCCCTTCTTCTTCTTCTTTTTCTTCCCCAGCTCTTTCTTCTCGCCTGCAGCGTGCGATGCCACTGCCGCCAAAGCCTTGCCCGGGGTTGAACTCTTCTTCAAAGTCGATGTAGAACCTCTTCGCTCCTCCGACCCCTCCTTCAACAAGTTCGCCACTTCTCGAGGGGCCCCACCTAGCTCCACTGACAAGCTCCTCGGACCATCGCTCTTCTTCCTCTCGCCCTGAGCAGCAACTATACCTTCTCCCTTCTTGGACTCTCTCAAGCCACCGGCAGCCTCTGATCCTCCTCCACTGACCTCCATGGTCTCTCTCAACTTGCTCTTCAGAGAGTCCAATGCAGTCTCGATGCGTCCTCCAGAGCGGCCATGGCTTCCACTCCCTTTTCCTGTCTCCTCCTCTCTCTTCCTCTTCGACCGTGATGAAGTCCCGCTCAACTCGTCTGCGGCCTCGGGGTCGTCCTCTCCTTCTGGCAAGCCGGTGAATGAAATGCGCCTCAAAGACCTCTCTCGCCCTCTCTCTACCGGTCGATGTCCTGCTCGGCCACGCAATGCTCCACTCCTCAAAGATGCCTCCTCGGCCTCTTCTCTCACGTCCTCTCTCTCCATCTGGCTCACATCGACGCCGCAAATGTCCTGACAAAGCTGGACCCATCTGCGGTAACCTGTAGCTCCAAGCCATTCGGATGCCTTGAACTCGGTAGCCAAAAACAGTTCGAGGGACGTGCAATGGGCCAGAAAGTTTCCGGCAACACCACAAGGAGCCTCCATGCATACGTGCACCTCGGACATCAACTTGTTCATATTTGTTACTTTTCGTGACAACTTTGAGTCCTTGGTGCCCAATGAAGTCACCTTCAAATTCAGACTTCCGTCGGCCTGGACCTTGTGCTCGGTGATGAACAGGGGGATGCTCTCCTCTTTCTCCTCTACCTTGATGGGGGCTACCAAAATGCGACCTGTGGTGGCCCCCATGAGAGCCCACCTCTGACGATTCTCTATTGAGAACCATCCCAAGCTCTCGTCACCTTCAACCTCCTCACCTCTCTCCTCGTCGCCTTCGACGTCCATCTGGTGCATCTCCCTCTCGCTCGTGCCTCTTCTCCTTTCTGCGCCTGGGCTCCTCTCCTCCTGCAGCCTCACGCTCTCCTCCTTCTGACCTCTCTGTGCCTCTGCTCCTTGCGGCCTCCTGATCGGTTCCTCGTCCAGCACGTCGAAGTCCCTCAGAAATCGAGCTTAGGCCTGGTGGGTGCTCACGTGGGGTCGTCTTTTCCTCTTGAAAGTGAGCCTCGTCACGGAGTATTTCTAAACCCCGCAATGCGCTCTCCAGCCAAGCAATAGCCAGACGCGCCTCAAGGCGCGAGTGCGGTTGGAACCTCAGTTCCTGAGCCAGCTTGCGCACCGTCAGACACCCACGGCAGCACCCACTCGCGTCCACGAAATGCGGTCGTGAACACGAGGTGCACCGCATGGGACGCTCGCGCACGCGCGCGACCACCCGGGGCCCAGCTTGAGGACATAATGGCCCAAAAACCACCAGTCAAAAGTCGTGTTCGTGAGAACCGTTCGAACAACGAACACCCAATGATTGGCAGGTGGCCTACAAACGCTAGACCTCTACCATCTGGCTGAAAAATGGCCATACGGACATGGACATTCTAGTACTCCTAGACATTCTGCCAATCAGGAGTTCCGACTGACTCCCTCAGTTTGGCTGGTTATATAAATAACCTCTTTCCATCTGTTCTTGTTTACCGTGGAAACCAATGCCAATGCCCCACACAAGTTGGGCAGGCGATCCACGGACTGCGTAGCCCGTACTACGTGGAGGGTGTACACCTGCACACTCCACGTCCCCACGTGGGGTGTGGCTTTGTATGACCATACTAGTAGCCTTTCTAAAGCTCCCCCATGTTTTTCTCTGGGTCTTCCCCAATACTAACACCTCAGCCCACCTCCAAGACCCCCAGTGCGACTCGCATCCACCAGGGCGGAAGCGAAGTTCCAGCCCCGAGGCTTTGCTCAAGCAACACAGGCACCATTTGCTTAAGGAACCGGGGGGGGGATTCACCCACAGGGAAAACCACACTCTTTGGTTAAGCAAAACATCGCAAAACCACATGTTCAGACGACTTGGCCGCCTTGGAACTTCACCCGTGGCTCATGTGGCTCCGTGAGCCGCCCCCTCTCTTTCAAGGGACAAGTTCACAAGGCTTTTCTTGTAGGTTCGGTTCAGTTCAGTTCGCAAGGCCAGTATGGATTACCCAAGACCCTCACACAGCTATCCTGCTGCTTGAACCAGATCACTCAGATCAGGGTTCGTGCAGAAGCGTAACGCTTAAATTGACGTCTTTGCGCACTATGCGTTGAAATGCTGCAGTTTCTTGCTTCAAAAGCTTAGGCTTGAACCATGGGGTCTTGGTTTTATTCCGCTGCATGGTTGCCAACAAGAACAACGCATGATGAGTGAATAACAAAACAAGCCCACCAGTTTGGTTTGCAGGTACCCCTGGTGGGACAGTCGCTGTTGTTGAGATCAATCATGCCAAGATCCAGGAACACAAGGTTCGGGTTGGTTTTCAGAACAATATCATGTATAGTACCGAACGATCTCTGCCAAACTGAATGATCACATTATATGATCACTAACAAAGGAGATTGCGTAGGAGTTCTGACGGGATTCACCCAGTCACCCAGGACCTCTTTTGACCAAGCAAAATAATCCTAAAGTTCTGAGGATCTATGAGGATGTTCAACGTCGTCTCAGACTCTTCCATGATCCTAGTTTGGGCTTTCAACATGGCAAATCTTTCTTCCTGGAGTCCCACCCCGTTTCATACCGTTTCAGTTGCTGCACGTTTGCACGGTTGGATATGATGCTATTATTCTAGCCATGTACCAAGGTGAAGCCGGGCTGTGATGGATGCCGGGGAAAGGAAGGTGTTCGTGCTGCTGTGATCGCATTGATGGGTTGATGATGTGCTGTGTGTTTCTGACTGAGATGGAACGAGGATTGGAGTGAATGGAATGGAACATGTTTTTCCAAATTCAAGCACCGACCACTACCACTACTATTCAACAAATACATGCACTCAAATGCAAGAAACATATCACTAAAAAAACTTTTCTGGTAGCCAAGAAAACAAAACACCATCAAGCTTACAATTGTTGTTCTAAATCCCAATTCGGTGGCATGGTCCTTTGTTGGTGAAATTTGGTACAACTCACCGTTGCATTCTCGGTAGGACTCGGTAGGACCACCCAAAACCACCGACGATCCCATCCGCCGATCGGGTGGGCGCCTGCGGCGATGGCCGAGATGGCCGCATTGAAGGTGATCTCGCTGCAGAGGCGCCTGGGTTACATGAAGGCCTCTCACAGTCCAAAAGATGTCCGCCTAAACACTCGTGGACCCTGAGTTATGGAGGGTGTCAATTAATGATAGGGTGATAATTTATAGTCATATAGTGGATTGAGAATCAAGGGCACAAGTTGCCCCAAGTTTGGAGGTTAGGTTTATGTAGATCCCGATCTGTCTTGGGCTGCCAGTGCCATCTACTTAGAACCTACTTTAAAACCGCTGTAAATGTACAAAGTCTAGACATCTCGATTGATAGTTCTTGAGGTCCACGGCTTTTGGACCTTGCTGGGAGACTGAGACTGTCGCTTTCGGTCCCCAGAAAAGCCTTTTCACATCGTTTCACTTGGAATGTCATCCCAAGAAAAGAATCACATGCTGCCAACTTGTATTTGAGGCTCTGCCGACCATCCTGGACATTCCGACACATATTGTTGACATCATTTGACAACACTCCAGTAGAACATATTGTTGAGATATGGTTATAATGTTGTTGTGGATTTGGTGTTGTGTTGTTTTTTGTTTCCGGAAATGCACCGGTTTATGATATGTGTGGTTGATTGTTGACAAGTGCACGCATGATCAGTCAACCTTTGCGGTTGAAAGCACATGATGTGAATAACATACCTCCTACAAACCACACATGCAAGTATTTAATGGATTTGTGCGTCCCCCTAGTTTCATGGTCTTGCCACCCCACTTGCTCCGCTTGCTGCCACTCGTCAATAACACATACCGGTTTTGCTGGAATGCTGCAAAAACGCTGCAAAAACGCTGCATGTCATGCGGAACGCTGGCTATAGTTACCCCGCTGTTGATCTTTCAACATCGTTCAACCACACCCCAATTGATATGTGCAAGAGCTGTGCAGCTGTGGTGCCCAGCGTGGAATGAAAACAAGGAAACCTTAACTCCATTTCGTTGAAGTTGGCTGGAAAAGTGCAAAGATGTTGCAACCACAAATGTGCAAACTGCGCTTTGGTTTTCGATGATTTGAATGCATAGAAATAATGTTGTTTTTCCTGAAGAAAGTGCATTGGTTGCTCCTCATCTTAAAAAGAAACCATGTGGTTCGGACCACTTTGGAACAGTTGAGTCATGATTGGAGGGGCTCCTCCCACACGAGCCCTGCTGTGCTGCAGTTCTTCCAACATGTCCTACGTACTGCGGACCCCACCGCCAGAAGATTCGCCTGTGGATCATGCTTTCTGCCAGGTCCAACCCTTGCTGCCAGCAAAGGCCTGCCGTCGAAGCTTGAGGCGAACGCCCGGAACTCGGCGAACGACCGATGTTCCAGTTCTGGCCCCAAGAAAAGAGGTCCAACGACATGTTGCTCAGAAGTTGAGTGAACAAACTGAACCCAGTAAAGGAGGGAGGCTTCAGCTTAGCATCATTCTTTTGGACTGCATCGGCTAATTATAGCACCAGGTCACTTTGGTTGACCGACTTCAAGTCTGGTCGTGCGCGCAAGGTGGACGACCGGACGACCAACAGGTTGCACGACCCATCGCCACGTCGGAGGTGAGCAGGTCGAGGGTGCCGGCAGGCGGAGGAAAATCACCTATATACTCCCCTGCAGACTAACATGGAACCCCGAAACCACTGGGGTGTAGAGGAAAATGGTCTTCCATCGGTCCATTTTCGGGTTCCATGCTAGTTTGCGGGGGGGGACGACTCGCTCGACCAATCAGGGTGCAACATATTTCATAGTCGGTGCCATCACTCGACGCCATCACGACGCAAACACAGTCGCAAACGGTCGCTGCACAAACAGCTTTCACGTGTTGCAACTCGTAAGGTGGGCAAGAGTAGGTACACGGCGCCATCTTGGAGGCTCTGGTCTTGAGCTATAGTGACTGTTACAAATTTCTTAAACCTTGGATACTGCACTAATTATATCATATCCCATTGCCACTGTTAAGTCGATCAAGATTAAAAGGCCTCAAAGCTTAAAAGTGAAACACACATAAAGCACATGCGGCAAGACTTTGCCGGCTGCTGCTGGTAAAGCGACACATATAACATCTTTGACCTGGGTAAGTTATATAAATATACATTCTGGACGATTCAGAAGCGGAAGAACCACTAGTTCCTCTATGAGCGTATGTTCAAGTCAAACACCTTCTTGCGAACTGTACGGAACCCGAAGTGGCATGCTGAACGTTTCAGGTGAATTGCCACAGTCCGGTTCCTACCTGTACTATAACTTGATATAACTTGCTACCCATGATAAGTAAACCCTGACCACCCTGACCCTGTCCCTCCACTCACTTTCCAGTTGATGCGTGGGGAATCCCAACACCCATTCGTTGGAGTGCGAGTTTGCTTCTTCAGCCCCGATAAATACCAAATACCGCACCCGACACCGACCGGCCTACGTTCGGCCCAATGCTCGGTGTGGGGCATGAGCCCGTTCAGGCCACAGAGGAGACCACCTTTCTCAGCATTAGGCTGCCCATCTATCCCTATGGATCCACTAGAAGGTACTTGTGGGCCCTCCTGGCGCCTACAGAACTAGTCTCCTTCCTCACCGTACCTGAGAAGGTACGACTGGATCCCTAGGGAATATGCACATCTGCTTGCCAAAAAGCACCGTTGTTGAGCCGAATTCCCCCGGGCCCGGCATCGAACAAACCACCACCCGAGACCAGCGCGGGAGACCCCGCACCTCGTGTGCCAGCGCTGACCTGACTGAGACTTGGTGTTGGGCCTCAAGGAGTAGAATCCATGCCTGGTTGGTAGTTCCCCTTGAAAAGTACGTGTTAATATGAGTCAGTGGGTGACAAAAGCACAACCTTTTAAAAGGTGGAGCAACATGAACGAAACCACCACCTATATACGTCAAATGCGCGGTGTGAACACCTGTTCACACAACACCGACCACAGGTGCCACAGGCCTGTTCGTGACCTTCGATCGTCCACGACACACGGCAGCGTGGTTGTTACACCTACATTCATGCTTGGTGTTGCGTTGGAATGATACAAAAATTAAGAAACCCTGTCAATGTCAAGTAAACATGTACTAGCACTATAGCACCATAAAAAGTAGCTAATAGCCTTTTAGTGACCTACTACATGCTCCTGTTATCTAATCGTCCAACATCTATCGCAGCAAACTGGCTGCTAAGTAAAATCATATCCCGGCGATCTATGCATCAGCTGCTTAGAACCATTACCGTAAGAAGATCCTAGACCGTGTGTCCACAGTGTTTGGAACAAAATCAACGTCTGGAGTTGGCCAAACGCGCTCAACAGCTCCGCTGCGTTTGTTTCCAGAATCAGTGAAGCCCCTTCAAAGACCCGGGAAACCTCGCGTTGTAGTGGTAAAATCCTCATGTAAAAGGTTGCTCGACCAAACCTTGGGTGTATATATATATAATGGTATATCCAGTAACAGTGCATGATGCAGGTTGGTAAAAGCCTTCCTTCTCAAAGACATATATTGCCGACTGTTTCCGGTCTCGCCCACTTGCCAGGTCACCGCAGCGTTGCCCGTGACAGCACCGCCTTGAAGGCCGCACTGCTGCAGAACAGACAAGAGCTGGAAACCCGATGGCCACGGTGCGCCATTGATCCTTGGCACGGTGTGACATACATTGGACGTGTTTCTTTAAAAAAAAAATACGGTGGAGAGGAGGGAAGGCATGGGAAAGCCCGACTTTTCGGGCCAGGCGTGTTGAAAATGCGAAGAAGATGGTGGCCATTTGGTCCGGCCAGGCATGGGTGGCGGATGTTGCGCACAACGAAAGCTGTGTCAAATGGTCTTTGGAGGTGGGCGAGCTACGGGGTATGAAGACCACAGCACAGTACGAAGGTATGCGTGCGAGGGTCAATAAGCCCAGCGGAAGAGGGCGTGTTTCCGAAGGTATGCGATGTGCGAAACTTCACTGCTTGCAGGTATTCATTTCGTCTTGCAAGCGCCTCTGCCCTCTGCCCTGCAAACTTCAGACGTTTCCCGTTTCCCTTCCCCGCTGAAGCGCAGCTTCGTCTGTTCCGTCGCGCTGCGGACCTCGTCCGAAGAAAAAAAATTATCCCGGCACGGCAAGAGACCCCAAACAGTGTGTGTGTGAGGTTTAATGAGGTTTATAAGCAGAAAGACTTAGAGATCTAGACGCATTGGGGCCCCTAAGTGTGTCCACACTGTTTGGGGAATAAAAAAACCTGCAGCAGTGTGGCGCTGAGCCGAAGCAAATGCTGTTCACCCGCAAGGCTGCACCGAAGGCCGCCCGCAACATGCCTGGTCGGTATTTCACCGCTGGTCCCGACGGTCAAACGCGATCGACGGGTCTCCCGGAAGAGGGCTCCGGTCGTACCTTCGTTTCGGTTTGGTGGGACTGGGATGGGTTTAGAGGGTGGGTCCATAGCAATCCATAGCGCCCCAGTAGCCCGGTGGCTGGGCTCATTTGTTGGTGGGCTGATTTCCAGCACCTGGGATGACTTCCAATGGTGGTTCGAATCCCATCTCCTGCTCCCCATCTGGCCTAGACCAGCTGCCCAGGCATCGCACCGGTTCAACTCGCCACGCGCAGACCGCGCAGACGAGGCGATGGCGCCGCTGTAGGTGGCGCAGTTCGGCCTCACTCACGGTGAGAGGGGTTGAGAAATCCAACCCCCTCGGCCTGCCAGCAGGTTAAAGAATTCTGGACCTTATCCCAATAGGGTCCTATAAGTCACTTAGCCTCTCTTGGTGGAGATGTCAAACCTGACAGAGGAAAAACCATGAGAGTTGGCCAATCTTGATGTAAAGGTCGATCTGATTGATGAATCCACCTTGCGAGCAACTGACCCTTGGCTTCCTCCGCTGGCTCATGGCCGACTCTCGAGAGAGCGAAGGAGTGGGGGACATGAATCCCCAAACAGGGGCAGGCGATCCACTGACTGGGCAGGATGGTGCTATCAGGAAAGGCTGACGCTGGCTCCCACCGAAAGCTCCATGACAGCATGGAGGTTCCACAAAACCAAAGGAATGTCAGCAGCTGCCACATGCCAGTGTGAACGCCAGATCTTCAGGAGCTTGGAGCAGGGATGACTCAACAACCATCCCAAAGTGAGCATCAATTCTTTTTGCCCCTGAGAGAAAAACGGATGCGCCGCACAGGTGAAGCTTTAGTCTGCTTGCCAAGTCGGGGCCCTTCCGGTTGAAGGCAGGGTCGGACTCTTCAGTTCTGAGGGTCCAAATGATATAGATCTACTTTGTGTACATCAGTAGGCAGTAGATCTGTCTTTTCTCGTCTTTTCTCGCCTTCCGCGCCAAACCGCGCTTCCCAAAGCGCCAGGCGATCAAAAGCGAGCGCGATGCGAAGGCGAGTGCCTCCATGAAGGCGAGTGCATCCATGAAGGCTCAATGCACTTCCATCTCTCACCTCCCCTCCCTACGCCTTCAACCTTATAGCGATGGCATCCCCCTTCCATCTCTCACCTCTCCCTACCTTCCCCACTTGGGACACCCCACACAACCCGCAGCTGGCGGGTCTCCGTCAGCAGTTGATGCGCTTGGGGCCAGCTGCCCGGGCTTCGGCACGCGCTCACGGCGGCGCTGCAGAGAGCCACGTCCAGGCCTCTGAGGTCATCCGAGGAGATCCATATGATTGATTTCACAAACATGTGATGTCCTAAGATTTTATGGATCTCCTAAGCCTATCAATAGTTTTGACATGCTACATGCTCGAACTTAATATTATAACCATAATATACAAAGTAATGTCCAAAGCCCATCAACCAGGACATTCAAAGTGACCCTTTGATATCCCAGAATGAGGTCACTTAGGTCTGTACAAGGTCACGTAGAGACTCCAAAGAGGTCACTTTGAAGGTCTTGGAATAATTCGAGATAGAATAACCAAATGTCTTTTTTTCCCGAGTGAATGTGTGGATGGGATGCTCCTCCAGCGGATCATGGGGAGCAGCATGCTGAGTATACAGGTGTTTAGCGGCTAGCGTGATCGGCTCACACCGATCTTCGAGTCTTGCCTGTCTCTTTTGCTTGGCCAAAAAGTGTTACGATGGGCTGTTGGATACATATCTTGATGTGATGTTTCAAGGATGAAACATGTTTGCCTGCGTTGATTTTTTGTGTGCGTTGCTATTTTCTTGGAGTACCAACGAACCAAATACTTTTGGGGTGAGCTAAAGCTTTCCAACGTTTGCAACAGTGAAGGAAGTTTTGGTGACCGGAGAAGAAAGGTGCTGAGCCAGACTTATATAATGCCCTATGGTGTCCGCCGTGTCAACATGGTCTTGAAATATATAGAAACGGTTACCAATACATATTGAAAAGGACTTTATAGTGGATTGAGAGTAGATGGCACAATTCCCAAAAGGCACAACAATGGACCCCCATCTGTCGAAGACAGCTCGGGGTGCCATCTAGCCGGCCATCTATACCTGTAAAACTACATCAATGATTTCACATGATGTTCCTTTTCTACTTATTTGGGGAACCTCTAAACATTGACCATTCCCCAGCAAGTCGATCGGTCTCATGACCTTGGCGTTTGACCACCACCTCAATGGGTGGGACCATTCTCAGCCCCGTCGCAGGAAGAGTGACGAGCATAGTCACGACATGTCATTCTTCATCACCAGAATGGATGTCAGTTTATGCCGACCCAGGCTGTCGGCATAGACCGACATTTGTGTTGTCGATTATTTTCCACAAGGATATGGTCAATATATGTCAATATATGGTCAATATGGTTCACTTGTCCACATGTGTGTTTGTTTTTCCACATCTGTGGCACCTGTGCGCTCCGATACCCGAGGCCCTCACCCACATCGCCTTGGTCTTCTTTGAGGCGTTCCAGCGCCTGCGTTCCGCGTTTGGCGTGAAGGCCGTCACGGTGGACCATGACGGTTCCAGGCGTTTCATGCCACCCGAATGTCGAAGAAACTCACATAGTAAGCACCTGAATATTCGAGTAATCTCCTCTGCGATGCTAGGAAGTGGGGTAGGATATATCATGTAATATCTTCTACACAATAGTACAGTTCCTTATCCTATCCGAGTAGACTGGGGCACAACCTCAACCTCAAATTCAGAAACGCCCGAATCTGTGGCGATACTATACTTGAATTAGTTTCTGGCCATGATCATGTGACTCTTGTGATGCTTGCGCATGCGCTTCGTTTCATGCCGCGCCTGTGGCCATGCACTTCGTTTCCCTAAAGAAACAATCTGCTTGGTGAGCTCCACACGTGCCAGATGCTTTGTGTCGTCGCATGACATGCACCAACGCCCCGTTGGTGGCGTGAAACGTGGCGTGAACAAACGACCCAAGCAAGTAAAGGTGATGCTGAAATTAATCCTTCTGGGGTGTTCTCTTGGTGCAGGCTACACATCTGGCATTATACACGACCAAGACCAAGATTTTGTCCACTCCTTTCCATGTGTTGATTTTGAGTTCGTAAAAGAGTTGAAGATATATGGAGTATGCCATGGTGGGAGTTGATCACGATTGTGTAACACAAGGGTCGGAGCACATCTTCAGACCAGGGTGTTGTGTTTTGGGGACATTGGCCGAAGGATGCCGAAGGAAGCCGAAGGCCAGGATGGACGCTGGAGCCGGAGCCAAGATCAACATGATCTTCTCAGTACCCAGGGAATCCCAGGGACCCAGTTCGGATTCACCCAGTTCGGGCAAAAAACAAAAAACATGGACCCGATCCGCAGAAGCAGGCCAGGCGGCCAGGCTTGAAGATGTTTTGTTGTTTGATGTCAATGTCAATGTAGGGATCCAGTACCTTCTAGGAAGGTGTGTGGGGTGGGTTTCGAGGGTCCAAAACACTTCTGAGGAGGTACTTGGTAACCATTTTGAGGGTCGAAAGACGCGGTACACTCTGACTCGTGAAGATTCAAGCGGAACATAGCCCCTCAAAGACCAGGTGCGCTTTGTACCTTTTGGCGGCAAGACCACGTGGCTTTCGTTTGCGAGTTGCAGGATGCAGTGGTCTTTTTCAACACCTCACCTGGAAATTCTGGGTTCTATGGTAGTTGAACGAAAGTGTTTATTGATTCAGGTTGTGGAGAACCTGTTGTAATCCTTGAACAAAGAGAATGTGTATATTCCAAATCATATCAAACCAAGCTGATACATGTTGATTGTATTCTATTACCAATTGATGACTGTTGGGAACCGGACTGGTGATGGTGTCATTGGCATCTCTGGGTCACATAAACAAGGGCTCCGGTCGTACCTCCTCTGGTTCGGCATGTCTGACTGGACCCTCCTGGCACCCAGTCCCACCCTACCGAAAGGAAGGTACGACTGGAGCCCTTGGGGATAGGCAAGGCCTGGGTTCTCTCCAACTGTGGCTCCAGCAGCATTTCTCTGTGGCTCCAGCAGCCAGGGCGGTGCGCGGAGATGGGCGGGGCGTGGAAGCTGCCAGGCCAGGCCATCGAAAACTTATCTGTCCAGTTTCTGCAAGTTTCGCAAACTCAATTGATCCAAATAGCCTTGGCCTAGCTGCAGTAGACTCAAAGGGTTGAATGATGTTGAATGGCCCATGCATTTTTGTTAATTTGGCAGGCCAAACCGAACATGGCTTAGCTGCTACATCGCCCGAAACGAACATCCTGCTAAGTTTAAAAGTCGCGTGCTGAACTGTTGAGCTTCCAGCAGTAAAGCAGCAGTTGAGGACAAGGCGTAAGAAAGCCAAATTAGAAAAAGGACCCACAGGGTTCGCATGCAGAATCCCACAGTCTAAATAACACCTCTGTCAGTTTGAGAAGATTACAGTTTGTCGTGTGATGTAGTGTCTGAAAATCAATCTTGATGACGCGCGACAAACAAGTCATCTGGTACAACGCAACTTCTTGCAAGGTATAGAAACAAGCGTTTCATATAGAGAACCATTGCAAAAGGCCCAGAAAACACTAAATTGTTGACATATTAAAGAAATTGGAGGCAGCAAAGACCCAAAGCTTGTTCAACCCGCTTTATGCAGGCAAGTGGAAGGGGTGTGTATTCTTGGCATTCCTATGCATTCCTCCGTCTCTAGGTTGGTCTATTGTTCACAGCAACTGCTGTGCGGGGCACTTTGTCCCACGTGGAGCTCAGGAGCACTTCAAAATGTGCAACGACATTCTCTGTGGCATTGTGCACACAGAAAAGAGAAAGCAAGTCCCAATTCGATCCATGTAGGGAACAACAAATTCAAACATGATCAATGAATCATCATAATGTCATGATGCATCGACAGTTGCTTATCTCAGAATCGTGGCCTTCGATAAGAACACAAGCATCATCCGTTTTTTTAAGTTCTGATCTGATCACCTTACACCCACATAGACCACAAGATCGATTGGGATGGGGTGACTCTACAATCTCTTTCAGTTTCTTGTCAACTCCAGTTTGACCAGTGATGTCAGTAATGTAGACTCGTGATTTTTAACCCCCCAGTTGGATTATATGTATTGAGGAAGCTTTGATGATTTTTATGATATCGAACGCACAAGTGCATGCAAATTGTCACAGCACTTCTGGATATGGCATTAGTTTAGGGTCACCCGTGATATCCTACCCTACAGAAGGAGTTGTTCGATCTCCACTGCATCTGTGTCTTTTATCTCACGAAAACCTTGCGACAGGGCATCTCGCCCCTTTTCATCAAAACAACGCAGCCTTTGTTGACCTGAAGATACGCTGCCGCGGACGAAGACCGCACTGCTCCATCGGTGGATGTGGAAAAACTGGGCGGACGAACAACTCCATGCCTTTTCACATCTGGACATTGGGTGTGCATCAAAATAAGGAGACCTCCCGACCCTTGAATTTGCTTCGGAGAATAGACCGGGTCTCCGAAAGACACACCCACATGTCGTCCAGGAGAGCTGAACTCATCGAAACAAGTGACTTCTTCGAACTCTCCCCCTTGTCACTGACATCGATGGCCAGCTTGTCACTGACATATTCGCTGGTCCTTCCGGCCGCTGCGATGCCGAACATGGGTTTGGGCTTACTGAAGGCGGAGTCCGACATTCTTGGAGTAACTGACCCTGACAGGCCCCCCTGTGGTAGTGGTGATATATCAACTCGCAGGTGGGGTTATATAATGAGTCATTGAAGTTGAGGGTGAGTAACATGACAGTCATACCTTTATCCCGGCGCTTAATATCGTTTGATATGATAGGAACCAGTTGGTGTTGATACTTCTGTTGAAACTGGAACTGGGCATAGGTTTCAACATGCTGGCAATGTTCAGGTGGATCGTATCGCGAATCGACATTGTTGTTGCATCATCTCAAGCACAAAAGCCTGATATCCCTACAGTAGAAGTCCAAATGTGCATTCATTGCCCTACGGAAGTGAGGTAAATGCAAAAAAACACAAACTATTTCAAGCAAAAGAACCCGCGCTGCATGGTGTGCATTCACATGTATGGTCTGTAGCGGTGGGTGACCAGCGTGATACCGGCCCACGGCCATACCGGGTCACGGCCCCACGGCCATACCACGCCGACACCGGGCGCCTGAAACAGCACTCAAACCAGCTGCAGGTCGGCATTCAGCATGTACATCATTTCGGTGTCGGCCAACTGCGCCTCAGAACTCCAAGGGTTTCGCAGCACTGGTCCAAGTTTACATCCCCTGAACAGGTGGAACATGGAGATGTCGGATGACCATCTTCTCACCAAAGAAGTGGTGCCATCCACGTAACCGTGATTTCAGGGAGTGTACGTTACGTTCGGTTCAAGGCCCAAGTCTTTCCCAGCACAAGTCTATGCGTTAGTAGAGTCGATGTCCCACAAACCTTGGCTGTAAAACCGCATGTTAACTACCTGATTGTGGAAGGCTGTGACTCCTTGCACTCCAAATAGTACAAAACTGAATTGAAAACACCAAATACATCTAAATGCTGCAATGGTGTATAGGCCCGTGTCCTCTGAAAGTCCATCCGGATTCCCATCCCCTCTTCCCATCCGAATTCCCTTGCCCGATCCCTTCCAGCCGAGCGGCTGCGCATGAGAGGGGGGTGACGCCTTGCAGGTCTGGCACATCCACCTTGGCACCCACGTCGATGAGGAAACGTGCCACAGAGGAGTGGCCATGCTGGACCTCAGCAGCACCCGAGGCAACTTCCGGAACAAACAAAGAACAAGGCAGAGAACAACAGCAGAAACACCACCAACAATCACGACATGTAGGCCATATTTGCCATGGAGCGTCTGGGCGCACAAAACGGAACCTTTTCGGTGCGAAAAAGTATGTATGCGCTGATTTGTGGTCGCCGTGCCTACGCATTTCAATGTCCGAGACGTGGTGTGAAATCTCTTTACAAACCGCGGTAGTGTCCAGCAAAAGTGACCTCAACATGCGCAAAAGAACTTTATGTCCAACAACCCACCCGACAGCCCACTTCACGTTTCCTCCCTTCGGATCCTCATTGGCATCCTCCAGTCATTACGTCCAAGGGACGGCCCACCATAACGGGCTTCGGCCTTGTCGGTCGGTCTTATCCCTGGGGCCGAGTCGGTCGGGGCCAGCTCGAGGGGTGCCACATGCAGATCCTTCCAGCACCACCTAGCTTCGATGGCTGTTGGATGGAAAACATATACCTGCCGATCTACAATGAAATAATGCATATACTTGAAGATATGTCCACAAATGTTCCTTCTGAGGGCGACATTCGATTTATGGCTTCGACACCCCCTTCCCAGCCAGGAATGTTTCCCAAATAGAGTTATTCATGTTCATCGCGCACGTGCTACACCTACCTTGCAAAACAGGCCCTCTGCAATGCTAGAAGAGATGGCATGCTGATGCCCATCCGCATGGCCACACCTCCAAAACCTAGCCTCTCCAAACTTGAACGCGCACCTTTTCAAGCTCATGACCCCAATGCCCCTCGCTATACAACAAACTGCATAGCGAACACTCCTGATGTGAGGCGGGTGCGCATTGTGGCTCTGCCTTGAAACTGGAAACGGGCACCACAACATCTGATTCACGCTTCTTCCTTTGAGACGTCGCAGCAAGTGTAGGAGGCTGCTTGTCTGCCTCTGGTGCGCCTTTGCGCTTCCTCATCTGCCCTAGAACATCTCCACAAAACTTGATCAGCCAAGGGTTCTTGTTGCCGAGAAAAGCCACCTGCTTTAGCTCCTGCAGAGATGGCGGCTTTGACTGGCGAGCAGCGCGGGCTTTGAGACCTGCAGTGCCCGCATAAGGGCAAGGAAGTTGGAGTTTGCTTCAAGCATGCTTCACAGCTAGGTAGCGTGGCACTTGCCCCGGACATATCCTTGACGACGACAAGGCAACAGCTGGGATTCCTTCTGCTCCACTGCCGTTTCTTGAGTGGACACCGTCTTTCTGAGTGCCGCTCCAAGAGCACGACATTCCCATTCACTGCTGCTTTGTGCACCAAACCAATTCTCTTCCATCCGGATATTACATGTTCTTTGCTGTACCCATGTTCCCAAATCTCATGCGATGTGTCCAGCACCTCAAGCTGGGAAGAAGGCATACCTTCGCGCCGTCTCTTCTGCCAGCGGCATTCGGCCTTGCAGTTCGGTGTTGGGTCAGGCAAATCACTGCTTTCGCGAGGTAAGGGCCAGGCAAAAAGAGACGCACACCCAAGCTGTGACAAAGCAATGTGCATTGTGTACTTAATGTCAACAGAGGATTAAGGAACCTTCCCCTATTGATCAAGCCCAGCTGAAGCCTCCAATACTAAACTAATTAAAACTCTGCAAACCTCCCTCTAATAATGTTGTTCCCCTATTAATCAAGCCCAGCTCCCCCAGACAATTTATATATTTTTACCTTTTTAGTATTCAATATCTTTTGGTCCATGGTGAAAACTGATCTTCCAATCCACCCTTGTCTCATGCCATCTCTTTGAGAGATAGCGTCTGATCATCTTTTTCCCAGTCCAATCCACCTTTGAGAGATAGCATTCAATATCCACCAATCATCAATCATTATATATCATTATCATCGTCCGTTTGCCTCTCATCCAGCTTTTTCTTCTCATCCTTCCCTGTTAAAATTCAAAAAACTTGCTAGCAAAATTCGTTCATTTTCCCTTATTAAAACTCTTTCAAAATCTTAAGGTTTTCAGGCTCACAAAGGGTACCCCTCACACAGGCCCTACCACCCCCTAGTAGTAGGGACCCCTCCCCCTATTAATCAAGCCCACCCTCTGGCCTCCATCTTGTTTTCCATCTCTTTGATCCCGCAATCCTCTTTCTTTTCCTAATCATCTCAATCAAAGAAAGAATCTTGTCTTCCAATCTCTTTCATCTTTTCCTAATCATCCCAATCATCCCAATCCCAATCTTTCCCAATCTTGTCATCCATCATCAGGTCATCATCTGTATTAAGGGGATGTGGTCTGCACCCAAACCTTGTTGACCTTGTTGACCACCCAAGCTGCTGCTGCTCAGGAACTTTCAGGACATCTCTGCAGTGCTTTGCCCACACCAAGACAACCTAAGAGAAAAGATCCGCTGTCCAGTTCGAAGGTGCTTCATTCCATCGACCTCATATCTTTCACCACACTTAAAAGTTGGCCCCAACAACCTCAGTTTTGACCTTTGTTTGTGTATTCAGGTGAGGGACTGGAGTGTGCTGATCTCTTCATCGAAGCATCTTCCAGCACCCCCCAGCATTGCACTCCAACGAGTGGATGTGGCTCAATCTGGTGATGTGCTTCTTGGAAAGTGTCGAAGAGTGTTGAATCGCAGTGGTTTTATTTGAACCATGTTGAACATGTTGAGTCATTGTAGTGCATGACCACTTCACGCTAAGCCAACACTGCAAATCTGACCAAATCCACTCCGTCGGGCTGCGGGTTTTTTGCGACAGTTTTGGGTTTTTTTTGCAACGGTGAGGTGTGAGAGGGTTTTTTTGCGACGGTGACCGCAGAAAGGGTTTTCTGTGACAGTACTGTCCGCAGGGGTGTTTTTTGCGACGGTGGGGCGAGGGTTTTTTGCGAGGGATAGAGAGGTGGCAAGCGTTTGTGGGGGTTTTCTGCGACGGTAACCGGGGTTTTTTGCGACGGTAGCGCATGGACGGGGTTTTCTGCAACGGTAAGCGGGGTTTTTTGCGACAGTAAGGGGCTCGAGGCGACGGTACTATAGTAGTACGACGACGACGACGACGACTGCTACTACTACCACTCCTACTTCTACTTCTTACTACCACTGCTACTGCTACTGCTACTGCTACTGCTACTACTACTACTACTACTACTACTACTACTACTTCTACTTCTACTTCTTGCTACTATTACTACTACTACTACTACTACTACTACTACTACTACTACTACTACTACTACTACTACTACTACTACCAGGACTACGACGACGACTACTACATTACTATACTGCTACTACGACAACCAGTACAACTACGGCTGCTACTACTACGGCTGCTACTAGTACTAGTACTAGTACTAGTACTAGTACTAGTACTAGTGCTAGTACTAGTACTAGTACTAGTACTACTACTACTACTACTACTACTACTACTACTACTACTACTACTA